CTCTCCAGTTCCATCCACGTTGCTACAAAGGGCCATATTTCATTCTTTCTCATTGCCACGTAGTACTCCATTGTGTATATAAACCACAATTTCTTTATCCATTCATCAGTTGACGGACATTTAGGCTCTTTCCATAATTTGGCTATTGTTGAGAGTGCTGCTATAAACATTGGGGTACAAGTGCCCCTATGCATCAGTACTCCTGTATCCCTTGGGTAAATTCCTAGCAGTGCTACTGCTGGGTCATAGGGTAGGTCTATTTTTAATTTTTTGAGGAACCTCCACACTGTTTTCCAGAGCGGCTGCACCAGTTTGCATTCCCACCCTACAAAAACCATATTTACCTGAGGTAGCTGTTTGGCAATATCTCCACCCACAAAGACAGCTTCAAGATAAACCCAAAGGTTCTGGACTACTAGCCACTCTTCAATTATATCTGAGGAAGTGGACAATTTATACACCCAATTCTGGATGGTTTTTTTAAATGGAGCATTATATCTAAAAAGTGAAAATGGAAAAAACACTATATTTTAAGGATACATGATTCAGAAAATAACATGGCCTAACAAAGTTACAGGAGAAACATTCGTTTGGAAATGAACATTTTTTTTTCCTTAAAAGGCAGTTCCTAATAATTTTCACACAGCTAATGAGATATTTGCTTTTCTAGGAGTAAAACTCATATAATTATAGTGATTTTACTTGTTTCCACATATTAGTCATAGACTAGGAAAATGGACCGAGTTTTGTGACAGAGGTCCAGCAAAGGAACTGTGCTTGTTGTTTCTGGGAGTAAAGGGAAGGCAAGGAATAAGGTGTTTTTACAAGACTTTGGTGAACCAAATCGAAGTAAGCATGGCCTGTGAGAATAACACTTAGGGCACTGTTACTGGTCCATGAAACTAGTACCACAAGGCCAATGTCAAGATTGAGGGTTGATGTCCATTTACAGATGTTGCTCTTCTCATCCAAAGACTGCTGGTTTCCCGAAGGCACTGGGCCTAGATTGTATGGTATTAGAGATCTAGAATAGCTGCCCCCAAATAGCATGCTTCCTGCTTTCTCAACATCAGGGCTAGATGAAGGATTCATGAGAATTCAAGGTGTCCAGAAATCTGGGCACAACCAAAAAAGACAAGAAACACAATGGATGTCATGCAAGAAGTGATGGGAAGATACTGGGTAAGGACCCAACTGCCTACAGTTGGATTAAGAAGCCAATTTTAGTTTGTGGCAATGACAAGTGGTTTCGATGTGGCATAGTGGCATTTTCTGGTGATTGTCAATACAAGGTTCTTAAAACTTGTCTTGATCCAGGACAGGTTGCTCACATACAGAAGGGGGTTCTTCTGGGTCTGAAGCGGGTCTTCTGGGTCTGAATGGGGTCTGATGCATGAGTGCAACCCATAACTTCTCTAGAAGTCTATGTTATACATGGAGGTATAAAGTGAGTTGCACAAAAATTGCCCCAAGGTGAGCTATTCAGATAGTAACAGGCATTTTTATCAACACCCATTTACTGTCTGTCTGACCATTGTTCTGGAGCTGAAAGGCAGTCAATATGCTAAAAGCAATCTTCAAAATTAAAACATGCAGACCAAGATGGTATGGATGGGTACTTCAAGGGGTTGAAGCAACTAGATATTTGAGGCCCAAAATGGTCCTGCACAGAGGGAAAAAAAAGAGTCATATTTGATGGTTATATTTCATGTAACTTCCAACATGAAAATGGGAGACTTGAAATAAAATCTAGCATAACCAGTTTCGGTCCTATGGCCAGGCCCTTGCATTGCACAACTCTGCATGGTGGAACCTGTCAAGACCAATAGGGAGTGCCATAGACCAATCAGGAATCCAGTAGGAAAGTGTCACAATCCAGGCAATATCTGGAGTTAAGTCTCACCCATGGAATATACAATTTCTTTCTGAGGTCACTTCCAGGTCACCCTAGAGACCCAGTAGCCACTGCCTCAACATTGATTTTATTAGTGCTATAAATATTATACTGATCAAGCTAAATGCAAGTTAAGAATGAAATTAAGAAAGGCCTCAAATCCTGAATTCTTTGGCCACAGACACTATTCACATGACTCCACAGCCACATGACTCCAGTCATCCTTTAGTGGGGGTGCCTGGGTGGCTCAGTCAGTTAAGCGTCCAACTTTGGCTCAGGTCATGATCTCACGGTTTGTGAGTTCAAGCCCCACATCAGGCTCTCTGCTATCACTGCAGAGCCTACTTGGGATCCTCTGTCACCTTCCCTCTCTGCCCCCCTCTCTCCCGCCCCCCAAAAATAAATAGCACATTTAAAAAATAACTAAGAAAGAAGTCATTTAGGAAATTAGGATGGCAAAATTAACAGTGATCCATGTGGACATAGTATCCCATGAAGTCCAGAAACCACTGAATATCCCATGGTCACCTGTGCCAGGATTATTCATATTCCCTGAGAGCAGAAGACATAAGTAGGATCTTAACCATAGCAAGTCAACACGAAACTCCTAGAACTAGGAGCTTTGAAATTAAGTACTTTATCCAAATACAAGACAGACTTTGGGGCCAGAAGTCATGCGGGATGTCATTCATTAACCAGTGATCTCAACCTGGACAAGGGGTGTTGGAATTCCCATGTACCCTAGACACTGACCTCTGCTAATGACAAAGTTGTGGCATATTTCTTAGAAGTATTATGGCGAAGAACAGTTGAGAATTACTGCATAGTCAGCTAGGGGATTAAAGGTTGCTAATGCCCAGATTAAGACCTGACAGTATACTTAGTCTGACTGAGTCCCATTTTCTAAAGCTGCACTTAAGGTCATAGTCACCTTCCAGCTGGTACAGTAGTCCAAAGATGGACAGGTTGTTTCATTTAGGGCACAGTAAACCCAGCACATAAAGAGACACTTTTCACGATAAAAGATGCATAAAGTGTTTAAGTAACAAGCCCCTAGTGATAACAGTTCTTTAATGTGTTGCCAGGATACTTCTCCTGGGCCACTGGATGAACACTTGAGCAGGGCTAGCCAAGGAGGCCAAAGATGACAGATTGGAGGAATGAAAGAGAAAGAAAATAAAATACATCATCATGGTGGGGAGCCAAAATGTTCAGGAGATAAGCTGCCTATTTGGGGGAAAGTAATTATGATGGGGCCCACCAGGAAAATAGGAAGGAGAGATGAGTACCATAAAGAAGAGACAGAGGCCATGATTGGTAGGGAAAACAGGTAGCTTGTGTGAGAACAGACAACAGTGAGCACTTTAGGTCAGAATCTTATATTATGCCCCAGCTGTAAAACTGGGCTTTCACCTAGTATTATATAATTCCAAAAACCAAATTAAAACCTTCCCCCCCCCCCCCCCCC